TTGCTGAGTATTTTTTAATATTGGCTAGAATTGTGCACAACCACCACTAGCAAAAGTGATGACGTAAATCCTGCAGGGGTATCATGCAGGAAGCAGAGGTACTGTAAGTCCCCATGATCCCAGCGAGGTGGCCTAGCTTTGGTTACTGGTGGCCTATAGCCTGTGTTTTTAAACTGTATACATGTCATGTTATGCTCAAATATGTTTCAAAAATTGTTTTTAAATAAAACTTTGCATAAATAACTAAATTGTAAATATATTAACTTGGTCTCGTTGCTATATTGCTGAAATATTGCCGATGCGACGTTAAATTTTAACTCACTCACAGATACTGTATCTGCTCAAATGTTGTTTATTTGTTCCCCGACCAGTGGATCCGTATGCATTCCACTTAAATAACCCAAGCTACATGCGAGCGCTGGAGGGACTTTACATCCATCTCACATAATAGGTACCACTTTCCTGTTGTGTGAACCGGCCCTGAAAGGCCATGCGAGTGTATGTGGTCACAAGTCGCCCATTTTTTCCAATCGCTTGATGGATTAAGCTGAGATTCTCTGTGGATGTGACAACATTAGAAAAACCAAAGGCCTAAAACGTGGTAACTGATATGATCACCTTCTGTAGTTTCAAGTTAAAGGCATCTTGATCGGAAATTAAGTACACAAAATCGTTCATCATTCGTCTAATGTATTTCTCTTCACCTTGCATGTCCACCAAGGGTGACTTCTGAATTGCAAAAAGGGGTTGAATTCGATTTTCAATATGGCCGACACTGTCAGTCGTTACTGATATATTTTGATTAAAATGTAACGACATTTGATACATGTGTAGGTGGTAGTGGTCATGTGACATGTTTTACCATATTACTGGGCAAGCGATGCTGACATGTCACATACTTGTTTCGACCAATAATGACACCTGAATTAGTTCAAGCGGTTCGAAACAGACTTTCAATATGGCTACCGATTTCTTTTGACCATGCTTTGTGAAAAATAGAACAGATCAAACTGATGAATGTCTTTCAGAGTGTGTTAAGTATAATTCCAAAATGAAAAAGGGGAAACAGAATTGTAATGAACACATTCTATCACAGCGAAGTTACATATCTATTTTCAGAGGTTCGTGTCAATTTGTCAAAAATAAAAGCTAATGTCATCTAATGTTACACATACCTATAATTCTGTATCATGCTTACCACGCAAACGTGGTGAGCACAGATACAGTTACGTATCGGTATTCTGTGTTTCTTTGTTGTTGTTTAACTCCGCCCTCAGCAATATTCAAGCTGTATGACGGCGGTCTGTACACAATCGAGTTTGGACTAGGCTGAGAAGCATCGACCAAGTCAGCGAGCCTGATCACCCGACCCCGTTGGCATAGTCGCTTTATACAGCAAGCATGGATTGATGAAGACCTATTATATTCAGTGGTTCAGGACAATGTGTACAGAATGAAAGCAAATGCTATCTGAAGTTTATGGAGAAAGAAATATGTACAATTTCGGGGTAAGACATTGAGGCAGGAAGTAGGCATTGGCACCAACTGTGCACCTCTTTGTGCATATGAATCGGAATTTCTGCTCGGCTGGCAAAGTCAAAACAAGATAATTGGCCAAGAAGTTTAACTTTAGCTTAAGGTACATCAATAACCATCAGCAAGCCCATTCCCTTCTTCTGATTCACACATCTGAACTAGAAATAAAGGAGACCAGTGCGACTGCTTCATCTGTTCTTAATTGGATCTATACTTATTAACCTATCATAGTGTTATAACCATCTCCCAGACGACCTTTCTTTTGTAGTAAGACCACTCAGCAGGTTTTACAATTGCTCCTCAGGTTTTACAATTGCTCCCCAGGTTTTACAATTGCAATTGTAAAACCTGGGGAGCAATTGTAAAACCTGACAAAGGGTCACCAAAACGGAAACAAAAGTCATCCTCATCCTTTTCTGCAGAATGTTCATCAATTAACTTACTTTGAGTAAGGAAAATATCGTCATCGTCAGACATCCTCTCTTGTGAACAGTCAACGACACAATGCCATGTGGTACGACGCACGCGGTTCTTCCTGCACGTACAGCCCCCTTCTGCACGTGCAGTCCGCGCAGCGGCCCGCGATAACAACTGTTATAAAGCGTGTCTCGTTATACCGCGCTTATTTGCGACCCGTATACCGCGTAAAAATAAGCTCCAAAAATGACATAGATTAATGGATAGCGGTTTATAAGTTGGACAAACCATTCCTTCAGTGTCATGGTTTCTCCATTACATAAAGATTCAGTCACAAAACACTTTCCACAAGACTGACTGTATCACAAGACTTTCCCTTTATGTGGAGCAATAGTCCTGCAGCTCCAGCCCTTGGTGTCTACATTTTAGCACTTCAGAGGTACAATCGAGCATGTTTTTTTCTACCAAGACTTCAAGCATCATGTAACTCTTGCTCAGGAGTTATATAGTAGACATGTGGAGGACATTTCCAAAAAATCATATAGGAAATCGCCCTCGGTTTGCGGCAATCTAAACTTGAACATTTAAGAAGATTTAATCAACATGTCTTTACCATTATTTATCAAATAAAAGACTGAAACGCGATCTGCCTGACAGGGTTGTGTCCCACTTTCAACTTAATCGTACTTGTGAAATGGACCGAAGGCCATTTTTTCTTTAAATGGAATATTTTCCCTATTTATTTCAGGAAGAGTAACCATTGAGAAGAAAATTAATCATAATAACATCACAAAAGTGTATGTGCTTTAGCCAAGAGAGTCTCCAAACCGAAACATCCCATGCGAGCGATTTTTTGGATTATGATGAATGGTCCACTCAGCTGCTTTTTCGAAAATACGTTTTCATAGACAGAAATGTTCCAGTCCATTCAATGGCTGTCACTGCATTTTTCCACAACGTTTCGTTTGAAAATATTTATAATTACTGAAACTATTGATATGTGTCTTACAACAAAACTGATGGGCTGCAATATCATGTCATAAAATTCTATTGTCATGTATCATTTCTTTCTGACAAACATTTCTTAATGCAATCATCCTAAAAGTAATCACTCATGACTATTTTTCGTTGAAAATCATGATACGGACACGAACAGATTTGTTGTTTTACGTACATTCACGTATCTTTTTACATTGAAAATTTTTCATATTGATAAGAGACAATCAGTTTGCAAACAAAAAAAACATCAAGCCCGCTTCCCAAAATATATTCTAGAAATACTGCGAAAAGCAACAGGTTCAAAATCATTCTTGCTCTAATATTTGATTTTCCATTCATATCACGAGATTACTTCAGTTAGAACGTGTAACATGATTACACTATGATATAAATCATTTTGATGATGATAAAACCTCCCAAGGCGGGTTAAGAAGGAGGTATTATTTACCATTCAATTAACTTATAAACTTATACTTGTTCAGATCTGAGCTGTGTAAAGTGTCGAAATCGATATCATTTTACCAGTGGGGCTCTGCTAACAGTTCTGTTTACAGATACTTACTGTTAGGAAGTTAATCTATACTTGTCATAAACACATGCTCATGATATAGTTGGAATCGCACTATCGACTCTGCTTTATGCATAGATTTCTATTGGATATGGAAAGGGTTTTGTCGCTTTATTTACAGATAAACATCTAATTTCTTTACAGTTCTGTTAACATCTGTAACTAGAGGTTGCTCTTGATTTATGGCAATGATTGATGAAGTCTATGGAATTAAGATATATATTTTGTTTATATACAACAACGAGTATACATTATATGCATATAATGCAATATACGAAGTAGCAGTGACCATATGAACGATCTGAACGTTTGCTGCTCCAGTAGTTCACACCAAGTACTGAAAAGGAGCATGTATTGTACCCGATCAAGTTCATAAGGTCTGGAAGCAGCCTGTGCGTTTTACCTACTGTTATTTTAATGACTGACCAAAATGCAAATTTGACAATTGAGACTTCATATACATCAAGTTCAATTCAAGTGAAGTCTCTTCTTTTGATGATGTTGATGATGTATTACCCAGCTCCATGAAGGGTGTTGATCTGTCCTGGAAAATCTGAATACAAGTATACAGTGAAATAATAAAAATATATTTTACCCTTCTCTGACACCACTCATATACTACATTTATAAGACTTTCGATATCTCTGAAGTATTTGATGGGAGCTGTTTTCCTCACATCAAAGGAAGATAACTCTAAATCGCTGACACACGTCTGTTTCAAGTTCTATTTAAGTTTGAAAAATACCAAAAAAATGTTTTTTCAAGTAAGCGGATGATTATATTGAGCGTATGTTCCCATACTTCATGAAAACAATTACTGGTATATTTGGGATACGTTTGAAAATTAGCAAATTTCAACTTACGGCTCACTAGGAGGTCAAGTTGACATACCATACTCGATCTGGGGCAACGCTTGCTCGTGGATCTTGTCGGTTCTTGGTTCCAAAATGTACCTGAGTCTTGCCAATACTCCATTGGTTGGTTGTTAAAACTATCCCGATTTTCACTCGTGTGCCCCTTGACGAAAACCCTACTGCACACTTTCTTATTCTGTGTCGCAAGCCACTCACTACCATCACATTCACACGGTTGATAGCCTGTAAAAAACCTCTTCGTAGCCATTCAGGTTTCTTTGGAATGGAATAAAATATGCATCATGTGGCCGTCACTTGCGTGGAACAAAATGGAAAATACATACAACAGCACACTGCCATTGTGACCCACATAATAACTCTTTTGATATTGACGTCGACATTCATCTGTGCAAGCGGTGGTTCACGAGGGTAGAAATTGGGTCAGAGCCTCGCTTTCAAAGGGCTTTCCTCCAGGTTATGAATAACTCACGAGTATAGTCTGTCAAGCTTCATGTGGGCACGTCGATCAGCATTCATTTATAACTTCCAAATATATCATTCTTATCAAATATTTATTCATTGGCAGATACTTACTTGTAAATGTTTTGATTATTGTATATTTTTAGATTCAGTTCAACACATCGTTGCGAATATGGGGCTCGAAGGTAACAACTTCTTCCGTCCGTATACTGACAGAGACATTGATTACGTAATGCTTCGGAAAGGTCCTGGGTAAGAATTGACTTGCAAGAATTGGTCCTAACGCAAGCACTAACAGTCATTAAATGAACGTCTGTGTATAGTATTTTGCAAATGATATTGCTTAAAGCGTGCAATGCTAACATTGATAAGCTTACATATGCAACTATAAAAGGATAAGAGCAAAAATCTGAAAAGATTTAAGAGAGCCCCATACGACTCTTGCTAAAACGTTCTTTGATAAGAGTTCCAACAGTCAAGGTATCAGTAAAGCTTTCACAAAAGTTTATGATAGAAATTTGAAGGTCATTTCCAAATTCCCTACTTTGACTTGTACCATATGCTCCCGTGTGTTTTGCTGGTTCCAAATTTGACATGTCAATGATAACAATGATGTCCGATGCAATGCCCCATTTTGACTTGTGTCATATGTTCCCGTGTCAGTTCAGGGGACCACTTGACTTGCCTTTGCGTGTGTTTGTGTATCACTGGTGGGGCAGAGGGAGAATGCACCATCACTATTTGACGGTGATTCCTAACCACATGCTTTTGTAGTCTATCTCACAGTCCCTGAACCATATTATTTCCCCTTCCATCCTGCCTTTTCTGTGGTGCAAAAGCCCTAAATGAAGCAAGTCTAAATATTCCTCACTTTCAAGGTTCAAATCAAATGGAGATATTTGTTTTGTATCGAAAAACATATTTTCAGAGACAACACGTTAGTCTAATGCTTACGCTACTCGGACTCGTACAATGTACCCTGCTCCTAGCAGAGGTTTTTTTTATGATCATGGATATGTTTTTTTGTCGCTTTTATTTGATAAACCTGAATGGATATATTCAGAAGGGTCCATTCTGATATATTCGAGTGATTCATTGCATTTGATTGGTTAACTATGTCCAATAGAGGACTACTTTCGTAGGCTGCCTTGCATCATTGCACTGAATGAAGGATTAAATGAGCACTCTGTGAAGTATTGCATACTGTAGAAATCCACAAAGAGTGCATGCCGTGTTTTACATTTATATCCCCACAAACGCAAACAACATGGAATTTCTAAGTATTTTTCTTTGGAAACAATAACCAATTCTTCCTCGAATTTGATTTTGCAAGTGTTAAAGTAAACTACACTATGTTCTCCAGATGCTGGTCATATGTCGGTCGACAAGGGGGGATGCAGGAGGTTGCTGTCGACGACGGTTGCATCAGTGAGGACATGATAATGCATCTGTTCCTTCACACACTCGGGATGTGGCATGAACAAAACAGGGCAGATCGGGATGAGTATATAACTCTACACCCTCTCAACATGGAAGACGGTACGTCACATTCACGAGTCATTAATACTGAATCTACCAAATTATAAAGCTGATGACTTTCTGCATCTCTTTCTGTGTCTTTAATCAACATATGACGAAACATTCTAAAGTGCATCTGCACCACACAAAATCACATTCAGAAATCGAAACATAATTCTCATAATAAGTGGAACACATTTAAGAATTTGCTATTTATTTTGTTGGTTACAGGTGCAATGGTGAATTTCCATCGGTATCATCTCTATGAAACAAAGGATATTTTTAACCTAACCATTGACAATTATACAGGGCACCATCTGCCGCTTCTTTCAAATTCACCAAACGCCTCTGATATAGAAAAATATTTCTTCACTAATTTCAACTGTTCTGGTTTGAACTACGACATTTGTTCTCTACTCCACATTGGACCGTTTGCCTACTCCAAAAATGGCGAACCTGTCTTTTCCCCTTTGATATGGAGAGATCCATGCGGCAAGGAAAACTTTCAACACGACATCACCGTACTTGGGTGCAGTTATGCTCTACATTGTAAGTGTGACTATATGATGTAATAGTTGCCTACTCGCTCCGTATGACATATGTTACATGATATACTGTATTGTCTGTGACCTCCAAGAAATACCTAAAGAAGAGGAAAGTATCAGGAATTAATTGTTGTATTGTTTGTGTTCGTAGCAAAGAACATGACAAGGTGCTAAAATATCTAATTCGTCATTCAAGGGCAAACAAAGACGTATTGTATTATTGCAATGGTGTGGAGATAATAATTAGGAGATAAACATACTGTGTTTTCAATGTAGAGCTAGGTTACCTATGGATTTAACCCCGCTAAATTGAATTTGGTACCGAACGCGCAGCATGAGGTTTCAAATATTAAATTTAGCGCGGTTAAATCTACAGGTAACCTAGCTCTACATTGAAAACACAGTATGTTTATCTCCATTCTACCTTGACTAAATAAAACGCGAACTCTTTGGTGTTAGCAAATATACTGAGTGAAGCGGCATGGGTTGAGTTCAGTGTTTTGAGTCGGTTATCGATCTGAATTACGGAATCACCGAACAAAATATGGTGCTGTATATACTCAAGCAGTTTGTTTACACCGTAATACTTCACTCGAACATATGACAGGCATTGAAAGCATATAAGCACGGCAACTTGGTAAGCAAGCATGAGGTGGGCATCACTAAAGAAAACAAAGCAAGCTTTGCAAGGCTTTCGCTCTACATCGCACGTCAACGTTATGACGTCATATCGCTCATTGTGACGCAAAAGATATGACGTCACAGTCATATATAGAAAAGCGCCAAAATTCCAAGCTCTTTGTTGTCTCCAAAACGTAAATACATTCCCTTTGTTGATTTCTGTCGTGTTTTTCTGCACGAAATGTATTGCCACACATCCTTTGAATATTGTAGTAACCGCATCTGTGCATTTGGATAATCTGTTATTGTAGATATAATTATTTAAATATGCCTACCGACAATGACTGAAAATAGTACTATTCTATGAATATTAGCTTCCTCGGTGATACGGCCCCAGCTGTTTCAATCAGAGGGGGTTTATTGTGATTTAATAGCCTCTGAGTGACCAATCAGAATCGAGTAAATTCAAAATTCATGGTAGAATAATGATTGGACATATTGTAAAGTTGGTTAAGAGACCACAGGGTAGTTTTGCTGTATGAACAAAGGGAGTTGAATGTTATACTCTTCCTTATGGCTCTACGTTGCTGCTATATTAGATCCGGTGCTCATTATGTTTCAGTTTTTGAAGAATACCATAGTTTGCCTGCTGGTTGCTTTCCACCATCATCATTGGTTCAGATGAAGAATGGCAGAACGAAAACCATGCGCGAGTTGATGATCGGTGACACAGTGATGGTCATGGACGAGGAGGGCCGGATTTCCTTCAGTGACGTCCACCTGATGATGCACAAACTGGACCACACACCCGTAGAGTACGTCATACTTTACACTGAGGATGGCCCTACCTTGACATTGAGCAAGGAACACGTGGTTTTTGTGACTTCAGTTTGGAGCCTTTCACCAGAAACTCGGATGGCGTCAAAGGTCGAGGTCGGCGATTATCTGTTCCGCCCGGAAATGACGAATGGATCTTTTGTTCCTGTGAAAGTGACAGCCATAAGAAAACAAGTAATCACAGGGGCATACGCACCGACGACCTTGGCAGGAACCGTTGTCGTTGACGGCCACCTTGCATCATCCTATGTGTTTGTGGAGGATCAGAGTATGGTCCATGGCTTCTTTCTTCCCTGGCGTATCGGCTACCACATGTACAACGCCATATTTGGCAAATCACTGTATGTGCCGGCCACAGGGCTTCACTGGTCACTGAGAGCCTTTGTGTCTCTCTACTGTCGTATTGCTGACCATGAGTTTTGTGATGATATCTTGAAAATTTGAGGTGATGTATGTATACAACACAGCATAAAATCATGCTTGAGCATGAACATAAAATCACTTGCCTTAGCCTGTCTGTTTATTGATGTCTTAACCAGTATGATGACGTCACGGTATTATTCTTGCTAAGCAAGGAATGCACTGGCCATTCTGAACGTGCTTTTTAAACAAGTAAATCTGAGGCAACTATGTGGAAAGTTAAAGAAACATTATGTTTCAACCATAACATGATTTTCGCCAGAGAAATCACGAATCTGTTGAATAAGAACTGGAATCTGAGTAGAAGTAGAACATATTGTCATGTTGTCTCCATTACAGACTTAGGTAGATACTCCTTTGTCAATTGAAGGTTCTAAATATCCGACATAATGGTCGGTATTTCTTGAACTGTACTTCTTCTCTTAGTCTGGGTATGGACGCCTTTTGGTAACAAAGTTTACGGCTGGCTAGAAACTGCATTGGGTTTTCAAAACAACCTAATGTTATATGACACTTTTTCCATTGTACGCTGTTGTGTCGTTTAAACATTTGCTTGAATATTTATTATATTAAGACATAATTGTTTTTGTAACTCGATTGGTTTTTTTTCATATATACACTCAATGAACACCCTGGTGTATCTCATGCTTGTCATATGAGTGAAACCATAGAATTTCAATTGAGACGAGCGAATTGGTTTCTTAGACCTCTTTGAACAGTATTTCAGTATCAATACAGTGTATCACTTACTTACGCATATCATAGAAATGTTCCACTGTGTGCAGACTGCATTAGGGCCGATAAACCAAGGATCAGTTATACCCCAAGGCAATAGTTATTATGACATACAAACATTAAGAGGATCAGGCGTGGTTGGACTTCTGAAGTTTACTGAGAAAACAACTGTGAAATGCTGAACTTTCTCATTGATAACATCTATGTAAAATTTGGGATAAGACATTTAGGCAAGAAGTAGGCATCCCGATAGACACCAATTCTGCTTCCCTTCTTTCGGATTTCGGAATTCTAAAACCGGAATTCTGCTCAAAACAAGTCAAAACAAGTCAAAACAAGGTTATTTGGCCAAGAAGTTTAATTTTAGCTTCAGATATATCGATGATCTGATATCGTTCAATAACCATCATCTACCTAATTCCTTTCCATTGATTAACCCACCTGAACTAGAAATACAGGAAACGTGTGAGACCGCCTTATTTGTTTCATATTTAGATCTATGCACAAAGATTCGGAGTCTCAAAACACTTACCACAACACTGCGTGACAAGAGGGATGACGTAAACTTTCCAATAATCAACTTTCCCTTAATGTCGAGCAGTATTCCAGCAGCTCCAACCTTTGGTGTTTAAATTTCACAACTTTCAAGATACAATTGAGCATGCTTTTTCTACCAAGATTCCAAAGAGCGTGATATGCCTCACAAGTTGTTGATCACGGTTACAACATTCAAGGCCTCAGTAAAGCCTTCAAAAAGTTTATGGTAGACATGTGGAGGACATTTCAATGACAAAAAGTATGTGCGATGCAATTCCCTATTTTGGCTTGTACCATATGTCCCCGTGTTTATTCAGGTGAACAATTGCCTTTGCATGTGTTTGTGATGGGTGCCACTAGTGGTGCAGGATACGCTTAACTTTTCGCGAACACATGGAATCATTACTATTAAGATCAATGTCTTATTTGGTTGAAAGTAAATGCATTTGATTTAATATTTATTATTTATGATGAATACATCAAACATTTAGATGTAATACTAAAATATGTCATTCATAATTTGAAGGTTTATTCATTACACATTTAGATGGAAAAATCACGTATCCAGAGTACAATGCTCCTGTTAATAACGTCACTGTTCCACACACTCACATAAGCACGCACACGAGGCAAATGTCTTTTTAGACAATCTGGAAACTAATCATCCTCAAACTTAATTACGTGTATTAAAAAGACCGCTTTTGACATTTACATATGTATCTTTCCCGAGGCTACAAGTGAACCGAGTTATAAAGAGCGGGTCAAGTGATGACTCGAGTAGGATGTATACTAACCGTGAGGACGACGGTTGCTGCTTCAACATCATGGCTTCCGCTCGCACGCCGAGTGTGACACTGTGTAAAACGGTGAGGCAGTGACTCAAACTCAGTATCTTATGCGACATGATGGAGTGTTTCGAACAATTTATTACCGTCTTTGCCATGCAATGAGATCCATTCATGATACGAATATGTAGAAGGTATGTTCAAAATTCCTTGGAATAGGACCGTACCCATCCTCAGATCAAACCTGATTTTGTCCCTTTTAATAAATTCAGTGAAATCGTTCGTATCATTGAATTGTTTGTACCTTTTGACACTAATGTGATTGCCAATATTCACTTTGTTTGTTTGTAAGTTGTTTAACGCCGCACTCAGCAATATTCCACCTATATGACGGCGGTCTGTAAATAATCAAGTCTGGACCAGACAATCCTGTGATTAACATCATGAGCATCGATCCATGCAATTGGGATACGATGACATGTATCAAACAAGTCTGCGAGCCTGACCACCCGATCCCGTTAGTCGCCTCTTCCGACAAGCATAGTCGCCTTTTACAGCAAACATGGGTTGCTGAAGACCTGTTCTACCCCGGATCTTCAGGGGGGACAATATTCAGAAAAGACACGGTAAATATGTGACGAAAGCATCACAAGTACCAAGTTGTCCGACTCCCCCATTGTTCCTGGTGCCTTAGGTCTTATACCTCCCAATATTTTGACTGACATTGGGGGAATACCCGCCCTTCTGGCAATCTGGGTAATGCAGAAGGCTGCAGTGTTGTAGAGTCTTAATATTCTCAAAACAGTTATCTGTGGGTTCGACTTTTGCAGAGCTTCCAAGGGAAAGTCCCTTTCGCTGTCTGGGCTGCGTGTAGAGGGGGCAAGGGCCCTGAGCTGATGATGAGCCTAACCAGCCTTACTGTGCCAGGATCACCCACACCACTCACTTAAATGGGGGTCGGGTGGTTGATTGCTGACATGCTCCTGCTTTCAATCACTGTTTAATTGGGTGCGACTAGTATACTATCTTGATCAAATTGATCCCTGAACTTGGTACAGATGTTCTGTATTCTGCATTGCGCCTTTCGTGAGCATTAGCGTTGAAATAGATCGAAGCACTCGTAAAATGAGATTAATTGTACCCCCAGTCCTTTCGCTGTACATGAAAGTGACCAAACCCTTCAATATTCCTAAAAGCAGAGTCGATTGAACGATCCCGACAATAACATGCGCATGCGTTATGAAGCCAGGTGGTGGCAAGTTAAGCGTATCCTGCCCCACCTGCGTCATCCGTCACCAACACATGCGAAGGCAAGTCAATTGTTCACCTGAACCAACAACAATACAATACTTCGCTTACCAAACAGCCTTCTGAAAGCGTTGCTAGGGCCTTCAATGTTTTAACCTTGATAAACCAACTTTTGAGCAAGAGCCGTATGACGCTTTCTGAAATCTTCGTAGAAAATTCATGCTCGATTGTACCTCACAACTTGTGAAATGTAGACGCCAAAGGTGGATGTTGAAGCGTCAATGTTCCCTACATGTCTACAAAAAACGTTTGGAACATTGCTCGACATAAAGTGACAATTGACTATTGGAAAGTTGTCATACCTCTTGTCATACAATCTTGTTTACAGTTTTTGTCACTCTGAATTTTTATGTATAGATCTAACTAACACTGGTCTCCTGTATTTCTAGTTCAGGTGGGTAACTCAGTTAAAGGGAACTGTCTATTTAAGCGTTACTGAACGATATCAGATCATCGATATACCAGAAGCCTAACTTATATTTCTTAAACAAATTGCCGTGTTTTTGATTTTGCTAATCCGAGCAGAAATTCCTATTCATATGCACAAGGAAACAGATCAGCACGAACACAACTGGTACCCATTGGGATGCCTACTCCTTGCCTGAATTGCTACCACAAATACTAAATGCTCAAACACTTTCAGACATCACATCAGTGGAATAAGAGGTTGCTTCTGTATTTGTCGTTATTCCTTTAAAGGTTCAAGTCCCAGCTGCTTCCATCTATAAGGGAAGTCCGAGTCTCAGTTAGCGTTGGTGAGATTCCCAAACGATTACGTTGTATCGGATCTTCTCATCTTCACATGCGACCCGTGAAGATCCGGGGTAGACTAGGTCTACAGCAACCCATGCTTGCCGTGAAGATCCGGGGTAGACTAGGTCTTCAGCAACCCATGCTTGCCGTGAGGATCCGGGGTAGAATAGGTCTTCAAAACCCATGCTTGACGTGAAGATCCGGGATAGACAAGGTCTTCAGAAATCCATGCTTCCCGTGAAGATCCGGGGTGAAATAGGTCTTCAACAACCCATGCTTGACCTGAAGATCCTGGGTAGAATAGGTCTTCAGAAATCCATGCCTGCCGTGAAGATCCGGGGTAGAATAGGTCTTCAGCAACTGATGAATTGTTTCGTTAAAAGCGACCAACGGAATCGGGTGGTCAAGGCTCGCTGTGTCCCAACTGTATGGATCGATGCTCATGATGCCAATCACTGGATTTCCAGGTCCAGATTATTTACAGACCGCCGTCATATAGTTGGAATATTGCTGAGTGCGGCGTTAAACAATAAACAGACAACGTCATATGCTGGCTACGGATGTGCTACATGTCAACTGCAAGGTGGTGCGTGGAATACAAGCTGTTATTTTAGCTGATCATGCCGAATATATGCATAACCCATGTACTTCGTTATTGACAGCTTCAAGGTGATCCTGTCAGTCATTGGAGTATTTTATGAACGCTTCCCGGTATTGGTGATATTGCACTCGCACAGAGTTGATGGGATAATGTAACAAACATGGGGAATTATCGACGAGTAGCGATTACTTTCCTGTGTAATCTCCATGTTATTTCATGCATGTGGGAATCAATATTACAGCTAACGTTGCATAGGATGCTTATGCTTGTAATATTCACAAATCTAAGTGGATTTTAATCATCGTTGTACGAAATACTGAGTATCTATGTGGATCTGTTTTTACACAACAATATAAGTGTCC